TACAGCGATTCATTTTCTAAGTTACCAAAGGTAGTGATTATCAAATTTGATTCTTGCACAGCATGTTTAACAGATAGTTTAAAGATGGCAATTCTTGTACAGATGTGGCTTACTATGTTTGTGTCCTCAGGTCCTGAATTTCTTGACTCACATTAAGTACCAAGGTATGAATTGAGGACAATGAAGCATATAAAGCGTCAATATTTTGTGTAAGTTAATCATTTCTTTAGCTCTTGCTATTGTTGCCAAAGCTCAGTGGAACATTTTTTCCTGTTTTAATTGGGCTCTTTCATGGCGAGTCAGTCTCATGTCAGAACCCTGACTACTCTCCCTGTCACATGTGGGTCCTCCGAATAACTTGGCTGGCTTGACTCTAATATTTATGATTTCACTCATTAGTTGCACATCCAAGGATTTTGTTCATGACTGAGGAAGTGATACCAAAGTGAAACACTTATAAAACCTCTTGAGTGTTGTACTGAGTTTCTGCCACATGTTACTGATAAAAACATATCAAAAGGTGAACCAAAGATAAAGGAGTTCAGAACTGGACTCCCTTCTTGATGAGCTCTGCAAGGTCACTTTGCTAAGAACATGACTCATGAATATATGAGCAATCCCAGTTAATATACTCAACTAGCACAATGATTGGCTTCACTGAAAAAAAATATTCAATGCTTGTAAGCTTACAGTGAATTCAATAAACCCCATCCTAAGATTATCTTAATTAATCAGGTAAGGCAGAATGAGCAAATACCTCAGTTATATTAATTATAGTTTTCTAAAACATGTGTCAAGAAATGAGATCCCTGGTTCTGCATTTTGTACTTTGTCCTAGATGCTGGTTGGAGCCAGTGCTTCGTTCCAGGCTCAGGGAAAAGTCATTTATTCAAAATAAGCATGTGAAGCATTTCACTCATATTTCTGTAACAACTAAGGTAAGACCTGAAATCAATTTTCAATAATCTATTTTTACAACCCAAGGCTCTGTTCATCTTGCTTGTGCATAAAAGCCTTTTTGGAGTGGAAGGCACCTGACAGGCTGCTTACTGACTGCTGGAAGTGCTGTTTTGTTTCACTCTGCACAGACACGTGAAACGCATTTCTACGGAGCTTGCCTTACATGCTTGTCCGTTCTGAAATCTCACTCTGTAGAGCTGTTGACTTTGGTTGTGTCATACTCCTGTTTTTTACATTCAGATTTAGATCTAATGGTGCTGGATCCAACAGACAGATTTCCTAAACGATCAGACGTCAAGAGTTGTGGTAACACTGATCTCATTATTTTTTTTAATGAACATTGAGCTATAATCTTAAGGAGATTCTCTGCCTGTTAGGGCTATAATTAGGATCTCACTCATTCCTCTGGTCATCTTGCTAATTAAATATCACCTAATTTAACATCTGAATTATGATTTGTGAGTGACAAACTCTCACTTTAAGCTAGGTGAAATAAATGGCTCAGTGGGTAAAGTCTTGTTATCATGCCTGAAGACCCGGGTCTGATTCCACAGGATCCGCATGGTAGAGGAAGAGAAAGTTACAGTATGGCCTCCATGTTTGTGTTATGGTGTACATGTGCGCACACGCATACCTACACACACATCAAATGGAAGAACTTTTTTAATACAATAAACTTTTACTTTTTAATTTTAATTTCTTTTTCATGTCCTTGGATGTTTGGCCTACATGTATGTCTGTGACCCATGAATGTGTGGTACCTTCCGTGCCAGAAGAGGAATTCAAATCCTTTGGAACTAGAGTTACAGGCAGTTGTGAGTCTCCATGTGGGTGCTGAAAACTGAATGCAGGTTCTCTGTCACAGCCTGGACCTTTACCTGCTGATCCATTTCTCCAGGCCCAGCTTTCCCATCTAACAATGAGAGCGATAAGTGCAGTGTTTACTACATACCTAGACTTTAGTTACTTTCACTCTGCTTGAAATTAGCTGCACCACAACAAATATGCCATATTAGGTAACAAAGAAGAATAACAAATCAAACAGGAAACAAAGCACAGACTCAAGATGTATATATTTATAAATGCAGGTATCTATAATTCAACTTTTAAAAGACAGTTTAATTTTATCTGCTTATATTTAATATATTTGAAATAAAAAACAGAGACTGATTTCAAAGTAATATTTTTCAATTAAATATCATGCTTAAATCAAATTTCATAAACTTTTTCTCTTTATTATACATGACCTTTAGGAGAGACTGTCCTGCCACCAAAACCAGAATTTTCTAAGCATTCTGATTTCAAACTAGGACTCACCATAACCATTTGCTCATTGCTTTTTTGTTTATTTGTTTGCTTGCTTGCTTAATTTTTGGTGTTTTTGTTTTTCATACTGGAAACTGGATTTACATAGGAGACAAAAAACTCTTAGAAGCTAGGCCTGCTGGCTCCCACCTGCTGTCCCAGCTTTAGGGCTTCAGGAAGAAAAGCAATTTGAGAGCAGGTTGGGAGGTAGGGAAACTGTCTCAAAGATGAAAGCAATACTTTACAAGCAGAGAGTAGAAAAGGTTTAGGGACAAATTGGGGAAGGAGAAAAGTGAGGTCTTAGAGCCAATAAGCACTATAAACATAAGTTAATCCAACACAAACTACTTCAAATTGGACTTTGGATTCAGTGGCAAGTTGTTTGTTGTTGATTTTGTCTTTGCTCAGCTTCCCAAGTGCCAACGTGATAGGCCTATGCAACCACACCCAGCCTGTAAAATATTTTTTCTGCTGACTTCAAGGTACTTTTTAAAAAAATTTTTAAAAAAATGTCCCACTCCAAACCTTAAAAGCATAATCTAAATTTTTAACTGCCTCAGTATTATTTGAAGTTAGTTTTAATTGTCAACTTGATACAACATATATTCACTTGGGAAGATACTCTTAAAGGGAAATTATCTACATCTAGGTAGCCTGTGGGCACGTCTGGGGGAAATGGTTTGATTGTTAATTAACCCAGGCTACTTTGGGCAGTACCATCCCCAAGACAGGAGGTCAGGAAACAAACAAGCAAGCAAGGATGTGTTGTTTCTCTCTCTGCTCTTGATTGTAAATGTGATGTGACTAGCTGATTGAGTTCCTGGCTTGGCTTCCCCAAACTGATGGACCTGAACTTGGAACTGTAATTTAAATAAGCCCTTTCCTCGTATCCTGCTTTCTATCAGACTCTTTGTCACAGCAACTGGAATGAAACTAGGACAATAACTTTAAAGTAATTAATATATGTATGAGGTCACTGTGGTTTTTATTCTTTCAAATGAACTTATTTTATGACATGGCAATCTCTCAAAAATGTAATGTCAATCTAACATAAAATATGCAGATTTCTATGTGTGAGTGATAAGTCAACTAAACCATCACAAAAGACTTTGAACTCTTTATCACAAAGATATATTGCATGCATTTTTAATAAATTGAAATAAATAATAGATTGAGTCAAAAAGTAATTTGTGTTTCTGATGAGCTATCTATTCCCAAAATATCTGAATTCCAAGTCTTTAATATATTACATAACAAATTTAATTCCTAACTCTAGCTCACTTGTGTTAGAGGCAGGACCCTGGTACCCTTGTGTTTCCCTTCAATATTTTGTCTTTTCTTCTCACCAAGCACAGAAAAAGAAGAGAGATTTGTCAATTTTCTGCTGCATCCACTTTGGATGCCAGCCAGTCTAATTTATTAAATTATGAAATTTCCATTCAATAGAAGTAAACTCTTATCTAAATTCTGGAGGAAGCAATCTTATAAAGGCCCCAGCAATAATCTTCTATACCTTGTTCTAAGTAGGACTTTTTTTTTTCCCAGCCAGGAAACCATGCATCAGGCAGGCAGGCAGGCGGTCAATTTTGAGACCTTGTTTGACTAAGAAACTGGTAAATTCTGGTTTTGTTGTTGTCTGAGGTGCTCTGTCCTATCTGGTTCCCACAATTGTTAAGTCCCAAAGATATCACACAGAGGTCTACATTAACTATAAACTGATTGGCCCATTAGCTCAGGCTTCTTATTAACTCTTATAACTTATAATAGCTCATTATTCTAGTATATGTTAGCCACATGACTCGGTACCTTTTTCAGCGAGTCCATCAGATCTTGTAGCTGGGCCAGGACTCCTGAGGAATGGGCTTCCTCCTTCCCAGAATTCTCCTGTTCTCATTGACCCGCCTCTACTTCCTTTCTGGTTGTCCCACCTTTACTTCCTGCCTGGTTACTGGCCAATCAGCATTTATTTAAAATATTTTGTTGTCTTTTTCTGATGTCATGATGCAAATATGGAAAGATGACAATCTCTCTAACTACATATACTTAAGATGTAAGTTATATGTTCTACTTAAGGAAGAGATCTGAGTAATATCAATGAGTGAAGAGAAGGGTGAATGGCTCAGTCAGTGAAGCATTTGCATATTAGAAGCGCTAGCGCCAAGGTTAAAGGTCAGGTGCAGCAGCATGGCTGTGACCCCAGAACTGGGTACGTTGAACCAGAAGGATCCCTAGGGCTTATCTGCGAGTCTTCCATGTCCAGATTGAGAGAAAGAAACTATAATAAAGAATGACTAAAGTTGACACCCCAGTGACCTTTGGCCTGCTCACACAAATACACACACACACACACACACACACACACACATCCCATCGAGTGTTTGTGTGACTCAGTGAATCCTTTATACTGGGATCCAATATATGAAAATAGTTATCAATTTTCCAACTATATCCTTACTAACTGTGTGATCCTAGAAACATAAGGTTCCAACTATACCATCTATTTGGCAATGCTCATGAACTAATTTAATTATTTTGCATTTATATATCTACATATAATTTTTGAAAATACATTCTCAGCCTTAGATAACTGAGGAACCACTACCCCCCCACATCCTAGTGTTTATTATTCTGTTTATCTCAAATCAGTGTTGATTGACTCTAAAACCAACTGAATAGTTTTTTTACAAGTCAATTTTATTGAACTGTGATGATTGTAGGAAGGCTCTTAGTTCTTGAACCCACTGTGAATAAGTCCCAATTCCATTCTCTTCAGTTGCAAGTAGACCCCATGGATGTGTTTAATTTTCATGGAAAGAGAAAAATTGCTAAGGGCATAGTTTCCAAAAATGTGCTCCTTTGTCAGATGTTAATGAATGTTATTTTTAGGGTTCCATAGTCCAATAATTTCCTGAAATAAAAATAAAAATTAATTAAAACAGATTCTTTACAAAAAGACTGCTTAGGAAGTTTAATATGCTAATAAGCAATTATAAATCCCTGAGAATGATACTGTATGTGGTTTCTATGTAAAGACCATAAAAATCATGATTTCAGAGAATAGGTCACATAACTGGTTCTTGATAGAACACTTTGCGGGAAATCCTGAACTTGAACAGGATGGCTAAGACTATTAAGTTTAACTATTGGGTAAGAAATAAGGAGAGAAACAAAGGGTGGCAAAGGTGAGATATGTAATTAAAAGATACCACCTGTCAGGTGCCACCATTGTGCTACCATGACACTGGAGTCCCTGTTAGCAAGCAGAATGTGTACTTTTGGCTGCGGGCACTGCTTCAGGATTCTTCACTCAGAGACGCAGCTGGAAGGGTCTCCACCATTTAGAATGTCACAGGTCACTATGGAGTGGGAAGGGACACTTGGATTATGAAAAGTTTCTACCTAGAACTGAAATATACCACTTGTGAGACCCATCCATCAGAGCAAATTGTGTGGTTCATATCTAACTAGAAGAATGTGGGAAACTCTAACGTGACTCCTTTCCAGGAGGACAAGAGAGTGTCGGCAGACGATTCCTCGTGACTAGTAGAGAGGTGAGGAAAGCTATTTCCCCCACGTCTTCCTTCATCTCACTAGTCAGTGACATTGTCACAGGTTGAGGAGACATGACCTTAACCTAAGTCAGACCATGTTGATGGTCAATTTCAGTACCAGGAATCTTCAGGAAGTACTTAAGACTGCTGCACAATCCTTGCACCCCATCCCCCACCTTTATCTATTTTCCACAAGAGCTTGTTCCCAGAGTGCTTACTAAAGAGCCTTCCGCGGGGTAATTTCTTAGAGCCTGTTTGGGGAACACTCAGTTACATCAGACAGCCAATGCCCTGGAGTAATACAGAAGCCTTGTGTCATAATCTCCTTACTACAATTGACTTTTGTCCTTCCCTTCAGATGATGTTTGAGGTTTGTTTTGGCTCATACAGATCTAATTAGTTTATATCAGCTGAACTGGGAGAAATACCAAGAGTTATTTACTATTATCCTGATATTCATAACTTGGCTTTATCTCAATTTTTATAGTTATAATTTTGCAAGAATCTTTGCATATGTTACTTGTTCATTAAATGCAGGATTTATATCAGTGTATCTGTGCAAACACATACACAAAAAGTAAGAATTGCAATAAGATACAGTACATCCAATCTCGATTTTAATAGATGATACCATTCTCTAAATACTTTTGGGTAGAATGTAGTGACCAATTACATTTGTGGGGGGGGGTTGCCTATTAAAACCATTTCCCATTTTTCTATTGAATTTTCAATCATTTGGTTATTTCATTTATAAGATATACTTCTGATACCATTGTCAGATACAGACAAATGTCTATGAAATGGGAAACTGTTTGTGACTTGCTTTTGAACTTTATAATGTCCTTTCTACAAATAAATTTGAAATTTTCATGCTGTCGAGAGTATCCATTCTTTAGTATGCACTTCTGTGTCATTCAGAAATTTTTCTTCCTACTGTTAGCCTTGAAAATATTTTTTGCATTTGAGTTATTAATCTACCCAGAATCTCTATTTATTTTCATGGATGACATAGTAAATGTACTTTTTAACATACCAGTTAATTGTTCCAGTATCTTTTTTACAGAATTTATGTCCCAAACTAATTTGTTGTGCATGACTTCTTCTTTGCTGTTTTGGTTTTGTCTTTGTTTGAATTCTTGAAGACGGCTTTACAGTACATCTTGACAACCTGAAAAAGCAAGTCCTTTTCCCTTCTTTCTTCTTTAAAATCCCCTGGGCTTCTTTCAATCTTTTCTTCCCAGTAAATGTTAGATTCTTGTTAATTTGGAGCTCATTTATACCTCTATAATTTTGAACATTTCCATTAGTTTAAAAAAATGGCATGTCCCTGTAGAGACTCCTTTTAATGCTTTCCTGTGCCTGCCTCATGCTTCAGTGTCACAATAACCCAGGCAACATGGAAATCAATGGCTGAAGCTATCCATATACACTGCTCTTCATTTTCTCTCTCAGTATAGATAAATTAACATGGCCCAAATGTGATCTGAAATGAGTGTGGTGCTTTAAGAATGGCTGATGTCAGCCAGGCAGTGGTGGCACATGCCTTTAATCCCAGCACTTGGGAAGCAGAAGCAGGCACTTTGAGTTCGAGGCCAGCCTGGTGTACAAGAGCTAGTTACAGGATAGGCACCAAAGCTACAGAGAAACCTTGTCTCGAAAAAGCAAAACAAAAAAACAAACAAACAAAACAGAATGGCTGATGTCACACTCAAGGAACAGGGTAGTAACAATTGATATTAGCAGAATGGCTGAGAAACTCAACTGAGGAAGGGCAGTTATTAGAGTTAAGAGAATTATGGAAAACTCCTAAACATTGCATGGCAAAACCAAGAAGAAAAAGATTATCCCTGGCTACTGGGAGTAATGGAAGTTGGCAGACATATTTACTCATGCGTTCAATAAGTATTCATAGAGATCTACTATTTCCTAGACAATGTTCTAGCCTTGGGGAAGAGTAAAAACCTAAACAAAGCCCTCTTTTTGAATACAATCAGCTTAAGAGACTTTTTACACATCTAGTGAGCACTAAGCACCCACTATATAAGAATGTCAGATTGCTGCTTCAGTCCTCAAGCTACTTATGAGCAGACTGACCACCATAAAGTCCGTCAAAGATCAACAATCAGTGTCACATGGCACAGGATTGTTTGACATATAAATATTGCACTATGCATATAATATGCACAAGCATACTGGTATAGTTGTATAAATATAAGATCTATTAAAACATAACCGCAGATTGCGTGTCAGAACAGGTTTCCCAGAGGAGCTAAAGGATCTACTGGAATATGAGAATAGGCAAGATTTGTAGATTGAGATAGTAGAATGGTAGCCAGAGACAATAAATTTATCAGTATAGACAGTGGGCTAAGACTCTTGGTGTACTCACCTACATGAAGAGCCTCGGCATCCCTGGAAAGAGAATTATGTTAGTAAAAGGAATTTTGCTTGGATAAATCAAATGAAGTCAGGTAATGCTGGTATCTGACGACCAGCAGAATAGTTTGAAAGGCTATAGAGAGCAAGGATAAGGTCTCTTTCTCTCCCCTCTTCCCTTCCTGCCTCCTCTCCCCAACAATCTCTCTGGAATGCTTGATTAAAGTAAAGTTGAAAGAGATGCTGCCAGCATGAAGAGGAGAGGCCTGGGAAAGTGCGGAGAGCAGGGACAAGAAAAGTGGTTTTTCAGTGGGAGTCAGGAAACGTGCAACACAAGCATGAGGGTCCAGGTTAAATTCTATTTCTAGAATCCTTAATCCTGGCTTGGGAGGCAGAGACAGGCAGATCCCTGGAGCCTGTATGCTAGTCAGTTTAGCCCATTTGGCAAATATATTTCAAATGAAAGACCCTACTTGAAAAAACAAGGTGGACACATCTGAGAAATGGTGCTGATGTTGACCGCAGCCATATACACAGATGAGCACACCCACCAACGTGTACATACACACACAATAGTAAACTAATAAGCATTTGTGACCCATATAAGCACTGAGTCCTCGTGCCCCAAACCCCAAACTTCAGAACTGAGTAGATCTCAAAGCCCTTCTCATGTTTCCTGCTAAGTAGAGGGGTTGGGGTTTTCTCTGTCTTCACAGCTTGTGGAGTGTTGACTCTTCTTTTCCTCTGAATATATATGTCTGAACTCTGTCCCTTTATTCAACGCATTATTTTCATGTATGCCCCCCGAAACATTCCATACGTTAGTTTTCTTCCCACCCCAGAAGGAAGGAGGAACATGGGGAAGAATCAGTCTTTTTACTTAGCCCTTTCTCTCAACCTTTTCTGCTCCTCACTTCTCCTTTTCTTGACTGCTTGCAGGAGTTTCATAGTCTGCTTCCCTTTTCAATGTAGATAAAATTCAATTCTCCCTTACTGCTTTCCCTGAGCCATCATAGTCAAGCAAATTAAAGTGATTCTAAACACAAAAGATACAGTTCCTTAAAGCCAGGTCTTCGTAAGTAAATAAACAGAAGGAGAGGAAGGGGAGGAGGATCCATTCTCTTACCAGAATACACAAAAGAGAACAAACCAAGGGAGAAAATCAATCCATTTCAACAAATGGGAAGAGCTGGAAAAGATCAGTCAAGAAGGGTTTTAATGGAGGAGAAAGATCTTGAGCTATACCTTGGACAAAGGCTAGAATAGATATGACAAAGAGGGCAAGCGAAGGACATCTGGCATAAGGAAGTAACCAAGAAAACCACGACTGAAGGAATGAGTCTGCATCTGAGAGAAGCTAACTCCGAGACTTGAGAAGCAAGGCTACAAGACTCCTGGATTCCAGCCTCATCTAGTAATAACCCAGAGAAGCTTTGATAATTATGCTTCAGAAGGTTAAGCTGCTTTGGGAAAGGGTTCCCAGAAACAAGAACCAGGGTTCATGTGCCATGGGGACTCACTCTGCTTCTAGTCTCTGCCTCCCTGTGCAGTGTGCTTTCGCAGCTTCGAAAGTCTGCCTTCTCTACCTAAACTAATCCCGCGGTTTCCTGGCTCATCATTCATGGTGAAAAATGTCTTGTTTTAGCTCCGAAAACAAACATAAGAGAAATATTTTGTTTTGTTTGGCCTGGCATCCATGGTCCATGCCCAGAATCATAACTATAGTCAGGAAGATAAGGTCATACAAAAAGATGACAACATCTAGTGGACCACATCAAAAAAAACCTGGCCAGATTTGGTACAGGGATCAAACAAGGACTTAGGGAGGAAGAATATGGCTTCACCCTGGAGAGATGTAGGATATATCAACAAGTTTCATTTGAGGAAAACGCCTTTGATGCTTCAATAAGAACTATGTGGGGGATGGGATTATTGATTATTCTTATGTTTCTGTTATGTTTCTCTGTTTTTTAATTTCTTATTATTTAAGCCATTAGCAATTATTTAATGTGTCTTTTTATTCTAAAGAAAATTGAAGTAAATGAAATCAACTACTTAGCAGCTGTCATGAACTAATTGCTAAGAGAGAATTCCAGTTTCCAAGATGCTTTGTGCTTAGGACTAAAAGATAACATGTGGACAAGTAGCTATTAAAATGGAAAGAAAGTGATAAATGTCATTTAAAAGGTACAGATCAAATTCTGTGAGTTTACAGTTTGGTTTACTGTAAGAAGCACCATTTTCGGGTTGATATCTGAAAGGAGAGTAGAAGTCAGCAAATTAAGATCTGAAGATATGAGGAACAGAGTTTTTTACACGAGAAAGAATAGTTTGTGGCAGAAGAATGGGAGAGATGAAGAGGACACTGTGCTCTGGAGACAGTGGATACCTGAGAGCTTCAGCCAAGGGGCAAAAGGCTTTGGGGACAAGAGAAACAAAACCATTTTGACTATGCTTGAGTAGTGGGGAAGCCATGGGCAAGGACATGTCTAGAGTGAAGACTAAAGGGATATTGTGTGGCAGGGCAGTGGAGAAGCAACAGAGATGGAAAGACGGAAGTGTCTGCACTGAGAGGGATGAGGAAGAAGGGGAGTTAGCTGTGTCCCCTGGCATGCTGACCTTACACAGTGGCTAGTGCTTGTCTCTGTTTCTACAAGCCCCAAACTCCATTCCAAGTGATAGAGATATGGCTCTTTTTCATCCCGTTCTACAATGATTCTTGCTATTGCAAATGCAACTGAGAGGCCTCCGAACTCCAAAGAGTTGAAAGGACATCGTTTAAGTACATCACGCACACATAGTGGAAATCCACAGGGCTTTTTTCCACAGTCTGTATTGGTGGGAGTTGGTTCCAGAAGCTGATTCCTTTGAATGAGCAAACTGTCTACAAGCTGTATGGGCCCACATGGGGACCCATTCTGTTGTTCGATGGTCAAGGATAAGCTGTTCACACATGGTACTGGTGTTTTTGGAAGATTCTCCTGAAGGTTTGTGAAATGGAGGGGGAATTGCATAACTGAAAATAATTTTCATGAGATTTTAGAGCTAATTAGTCTATAAGTTCTCAACAATCAATAACTAAGGACTTTCAGAGGCCTTTGGCATAGCATCAGGCCTTGCCTCAACCCTACCCACATTTTCTTCCATAAAAAATACCCCTCCAAATCTCCTAGGTCTTCACATTCTATTACAAAAACAACCATCTGTCAATCAAGGGTAATTCTGACCCCTCCCCAAGGTAGCGCTATCTGGCAGTGTCTAGTGACTTCAGCTTTCTCACCTTTGAGTTGTTTTCTAGGCGTCTAGGAAGTTGAAGTCATGAATGTTGCTGGCTCACATTTGGCTTGATTGTCATCTTAGGGTTAGCACCACTATGGAAGCACCTCTGTATGTGTCTATGGGAGTGTTTCCAGAAAGGTTTTTTTCTTGAGGATGCGGAAGACTGATCCTGAATGGAGGGCATCACCCCATAGGTTAGGCATCTCTACCGTTCCAGCTGCTGGGACGTCCCTGTCATTGTGGATTATAAGTTCTCATTGTCACAACCATGAGAAAAGGGAGCTGACACTGCTGCTAAACACTGATCATCTTAACCGTCTACAGAGAACTGAGGCAAAATACACCGAGCTGAAGCTAAGAAGCAGTACTACTGAATAAATCTTCCTCCTAATCCTCCATCCTCTACAGCTTCATGTTTTCAGCCACGGAGACATGCACTCCATTAATCAAAGGGGAGTCCTGCTACAACAAACAGAGAAGCTGGGGGCCCTAAATCCCCTTCCACATGAGCTGCCCTTCTGAGGAAACAGTATGGTTCGAAATGCCACATCTCCCAACACATATAAAGTTCACACCCATACTCAATTCTACTTACTCTGCCAGGAAGAGAAAGAAAGGAAGAATGTAAACAGTGTGGGTGCAACTGTTCCACGTCCCACTAGAGCATATGCCCCAGGAGAGCGTGCGGAGGGAGAGTCGCATCGGATATTCCTTCGCTTGGTCTCAGTGCCTGCACTGTTCTCAGCATATGAGCATCTCACCATCCGGGTGTGATTCAAGTGTTTAAAGATACATTTTTCTTTCTCTCTCTCTCTCTCTTGTACAACATGGCCCTGAAATGCAAGCCAACTTCTTCATCAGGTATTTAGCTGAGAAAACAGCAATCTGTTCCGATGCTGGAGAAAAAAAAAAAAAAAAAGCTGGCTGAGTTGGATGGTATAACAGCCTTAGATGTGATGCATAAAGATGGCCGCAAATATTGTACTTCAAAGATGAACGTGGGAACTTTTTCTCTCTGAGGTATTTCTGATTTGTGTGATGTTTCATGCTGCCATAGATAAAAACTTGTACGTAAAAATGTAACTTAATGTTTGGAAAGAGAAAGGGTTGGGGGAGGTTGATAGGGGTTTGGGGATTGTCTTGAGGGTAGTACAGGTTGAGAAGATGAGAAGAAAGAAAATGAAGCAATTGTGAGTGGAAATAAGAAAGACAGAGGACAGAATGAGCATGATGCTACCTTCCCATGCTCAGAAATACCTACCTGATAACTGAAGGAAAAGCCTATTGCAAGTCTACAACAAGGAGTTGACTCAGTTGCGCTGATTAACGTAGGACCTGAGTGAATAACTGTTGACTTGTTAATGTTCTTTGTGTAACTAGTGTAGACTTTTTCAGCCACTCACGTTTTATATTAATATAATATGTAATACTCCAGCTTGGTTTTTTCCATTTAAAAAGCCGCCAAATGGATGTCATAAATTCTTAACAGTTTGTTTAAATATTAACTAGCAAGTGGCAACCCTTACAGGTATGCCTTTGAAATCTTGCTAGCCCTATGTGTACAATGACCATACGTGTGTGGTATTCAGGTATTTTTAAACCTGCTGGTGCACAGCTCGCTAGTGGCCCACCTTCAGTATTTTGGAATGGAAACTATTTTTCTGATTGCTAAATTGAGATGGGGAAAGGAAAATTAACTCATAAATATTTTATGGGTCAAAAAATTTTATGTGAGTCTTTGAAAGATAAATGCTGTTGTAATCATTTCAAAAATTCCCATTTTAATTAAATACAATATTTTCAAGATTGTGCTATGGAGCATAGCATAAGCTTTCTAACTTGGAAACTTCCTGAATAATGCAACTAAATAAAGGGAAATTGTTCTCTGCTCAGTACTATTTTCCACAAAGAAAAGTTTTATAATCATTTTCTTCATTTGGGCACACACTACGGGAATGAGTGCCTCGTGTGGACTAAATCACTACCATTTTGTCAAGATTTAATACAGTGCTTTTACAAAGTCAAATTTTTTTAAAAATGAGATTTAGTATGTGGACTCACCAATATTATATAACAGATTAGACATACTGAAATGCTGGAAGGGGGTGGAAATTAAGGAACATTACCTAATTCACATATCCAATAAGATTTTTTTAAAAGATGTTCTATTTTGATCCTAGAGATAGAACATTTTGAAATCAAAGCTTATGGATTCTGAGGACAGAATCTCAGTCTGGTTCTGGACGATTCTACAATCCATATTCTTTCTCTACAATACACTGGAAACTCTACAGTTAGTTCAGTAACGGTGTGAAGTAATTACATTGAAACTGTACAACACATGATCCACCATGATCTTATATCTTGTGTGATTAGTCCTCTTCTATGCCACCTACATGCGGGCAATATAACAACCAATTTGCCCCAAATCTCTTGGGGTAGACAAAGAGTTATTGCTTCTGTCACAGTCCCATGTAATTGGCATTAGCAGCTTTCCCCCCTAGATGGCTCGGGAATACAGCCTCCTTCCATACCCTGATGCTTTTAAACTGTGCATATGGTAGGAAAAGAAAGAGTTTGGACAATCACCCAGGAAGACTCACGGCCATGCCTGAAGTAGAATGCATCGCTTCTGTTAGTCCAGCACAATAGGCACCTAGACCACACCTAAATGCAAGAGAGATTAGGACGTGTAGCCATCCGCAGTGCCCAAAAAAGAAGAAAATGAAATTTTTTTGTTTTTGCAAATCCTTAGCATTTTATGTTTTATGCCATATAAGAGAATTCACTTCTAATAGACTAAGAAGTCTAATGACCTAAATGTCGGTGCCAAATTTACGTAAGCCAGTACACACTGTGTTACAGGGCTACGGTGGGTGGCATTATACTGCAAAAAGAATACATTTTGCAATGGCTGACTTGGCTCATGGAAACTGATGTGCCCAGATGTGAGTAGAGGAAGCCAAATTGGCAGTTCTCAAGACCAGAACTACACGAGGAGGACAAAGTGTGAATGCATAAAGAAAAGGAAAGAATGGCTAGGAGCAGATGGCTTAGGAGTAAATACATGTGAAGATATTGTAGCCAATATTATTTGCTAGAATCCAGCTGTTGAATAAATTGCCAATCTCCACAGCAACCCTATGAAGTAAGGAATATTACTTCATTTACAGGTGATGAAACTAAGGCAAGGGCTTAATAATTTACCCATAGTGATTACAGAAGTTGGAGGTGGTACCTAAACCCAGGATATATTTATACCCAAGGCTTTTAACCTTCACCTCTGCTATGGCTTGAATATGAAATCAGCCACACACACCCTCAGATCTATGGGTTTGGGGCTTGGAGCTCATGTGCAAAATAACGAACTATTCATAAGTAATTAGATTCTGTTGCTGTTGATGTAGTCAAGGGATTGGTCCATTGGTGAATCATTGGTAGGTGATGAAAAGCAGGAAATGGAACCTAACTGAAGGTAGGAGGTCTCGCTGTGATGGAAGTGAGACTGGAAAAAGGCATGTCCCTGGGACCGTAGCTGTCCTGGTCCCTTCCTGTATTCTGACTTCCTCTTCCTGTCATTCATGAGGCAAGTAGCTGCCATGATGCCCTCTTTAGAACTGGAATTCTTCTTTTATATGACTCCGAGTCTGTGACTCAGGGTGGTAACTTTTTAAAAATAACTGCAAAAGACACATGTTAAGGTTCCAATATCCTTTGACGCCAGAAAAGGTCATGCCTTTTCCCCCATCTAATCTTTTTTCCTCTGAAAATAATTACTTAAAATCATATAGAAGGCTGCTAGCTTCCTCTCTTACTCTGCTTATAGAGGCTTGGCCATTCCAGTCAGTATAAATTCTACTTCTCATTTTCCTTTAGAATAAGAAATTCATAATTTCTTTTTCAGTCCATCTCAAGATTCAGCAATCTATACAAATGTGGTAGTGGTGGTGATGGTGGTGGTGGTGGTGGTGATGGTGGTGGTGGGGTGATGGTGGGGGTGGTAGTGATGGTGATAGAGGTGGTGATGTTGTTGATGGAGGAAGTGGTGGAAGTGGTGATGATGTTGCTGATGGAGGAAGTGGTGGAGGTGGTGGAGGTGGTGGTGAGGATGGTGGTGGTGGTGATGGGGGGTGGTGATGTTGTTGATGGAGGAAGTGGTGGAGGAGGTGGTGATGTTGCTGATGGAGGAAGTAGTGGAGGTGGTGGAGGTGGTGGTGGTAAGGATGGTGGTGGTGGTGATGGGGGGTGGTGATGTTGTTGATGGAGGAAGTGGTGGAGGTGGTGGTGATGTTGTTGATGGAAGAAGTGGTGGAGGTGGTGGTGATGTTGTTGATGGAGGAAGTGGTAGAGGTGGTGGTGGTGGGGGTGGTGATGGGGATGGTGGAGGTGGAGGAAGTTGTAGTGGTAGAGGTGGTGGTGGTGGTGGTGTATGTGTTCGTGTGTATTTTGGCATCTGAAATGTATGGGAAACTTGGACTTCTCCATTAAAATTACATGAAGACTGGTGAATCCTGGATAGATGTGAATCCCAAATGGTAGAACACTGGTCTGGTGGCAAATGAGTCTGGGTCTTTTCTTTCTTTCTCCATTTCATGTATTCCCTAGAAGAGATCTTGCAGATTGGAAGAAGGAACCTGGTACTTTTTCTCTTAGGAATCTTAACTTCTTTGGCCTTTGTATTTTGCACATCCCTTAAGAACATTCTAATAGGTCCCTGAAGCAGGGACATCCATATGGCAGCACCAACTAGTCAGGCACCAGTGTGAGCCATAAGGACGTGCACTGACCAGTCGGGCACCAGTGTGAACCATCAGGACATGCACTGACCAAACTGGATACCAATGTGGGCCATCAGGACATGCACTGACCAGTTGGACACCAGTGTGAGCCATCAGACTATACATTAGCTAAAAGTCAGACATCCTGGAATCTTTTTTCTGATCAACTAAGCATTAACATACTTGGATCTAACCTTTTGCTGCATTCATGAAGGGACTTGTGGCTTCCTACACATTCTCACTTTTGCTAACATGTACATGAAGGTAAGCATACTGCCTCTTTCCCCAAGACAGGTGTATATGGATAAAGGCTTTCTTTCGTGGCTTTCTATATAAGAGCATAACTTGCCTTTCAAACCTATTTATCTCACAAAGCTAAAATTCTTACAATCTTTTAAATTTTACTTTTAAAAATATATTATATTGAGTATAATTATCTTACTTAAGAATCAGTCACTAATTGAATCTAACTTGCTCTAGTAGCTCACTGTGTGGCTCAGTGAAAGATTAGGCACCCTTGTCTCTCCAACAGCAACTTCTATGATGTCAGAATGTGTGGCTCCTCGGAACAGTTTCCTCTTTCTGCAGCAATCTATAGTAAATACGATATCACCCTGCTGATGGGAAGGCCAAGACCACATTAAAGGTGGTGAGATAGTTTTTGTGTGCTTGGAATATTTGATGAAGTATTGATGGATGTATAAAATACATTATTCTTGATAGTATTTGTAATTAAATGCTTTAATATTGTTTAAAGATTTTGTTTTATTTGTGTGTGTGCATGTGCTTGCATGAGTGTATACATCCAGGGGTGTGAAGATGCCCCAGAGGACAGAAGAGAGCGCTGAATCCCTGGGAGCTAGGGTTACAGGTGTCTGTGAGTTCCCTTTGGGTGCCAACATTTGATCTCCAGCTTTCATGTGAGGGCAGTAAAGATCCAAGCCTTACTCCATTAATAATGTTAATAATTGAATTACGCTGTGTGGTTACGTTTCCTACCACAAGAGGAAATCTCATTTTACCACATGATCTTCTTTTCGAAAGCTGAATGCATTGTTTCTAGTCTGTGGG